GCCAGCTGCTGGCTCCCGGGAGACCCTGGGTCAGTGATTTCACTTCTCCAAGATTCCATTTTCTCATCTCCAAGGATGATAATGACTCCTATTTAGAATGTGGCTGAGAGTTATAACATACACACAAGTCTGATGCTGGGAGCTAGCCAGGTCCCTGACCCAGAATCACTTATAGAATTGATGATTTATGGACCCTTGTTCTCTAGACCCTTGTTGGTATCATTCCCAAATTTATTTACTCACAAACTCTTACATTCCATTTACAATGTGTCTGGTACTGTTCTGTGCATGCCTCTCCCCATTACTATTTCCCTATTACCAGTGCTGTACAGAAAGGCTAAGTTACTTGCCCAAGATGACACAGTTGATAAGTGGCGGAACTGGGATTCAAATCTGGGCATCTTGACTTCAGAGTCTATGCTATTTAACTGCTTGGCTATGACACCTCTTCGAGCAACTGTACTGTGCCTATTTCTGGGATGGACACATGATTGGTGAATACACAGATGAACTTGAGTCTCCTCCATGGACTAGAACAGAGAGGAATGTTCCAGTTTTTGTCTCTAGCCAGTCACTCTGTGGATGGTTTGGGAGCACAAGTTGAGAGTTGCCTCCCCAGCTCTGTTCAGTTATAGCGGTTCTGGAATGGGCTTCAGGTTTGTATGAATAGGAGTCTGCCCAGGCTGCAGATGTGGCCCAGTCTGCCATGAGGTGCTCTGGGTTTTATGGCATTGTTTGGTCTCTAGAGATCAGAATTATTCCCTTAGATTTCACAGTTGCCTTTGAAATACACACACACACACACACACACACACACACACACACACACACACACACACACACATCTGTCTCCCCAGTTTATCTGGGACTGGGACTGGACTACTTAGGTGACCCTATGTTTCCATCCCTCTGTTTTCACATCCACTCAGTCTCTGTTTGCTCTGGTTGGTTCCTGTGGCTGGGATGTCACCTCCTGCCTGTAGCCTCAGCTCTCAGTTCCCAGTGCCGACCTTTCTCATCATTGCTGGTCACAAACACACATTCCCCAAAGTATTTCAAGGACTTTACTGACTTGGGCAGGTCCCAGAGAGGTGCCATTTCTTCCCCTAACTGTCTCTGGAAAAGCCACTGAAAGTGTGGTAGGCCTGCTGAGTTCCTAGTGACCTTAAACCTTTATATGTCTTATCTAGGAACAAAGGGTATGTTCTGAAGCCCGCAGAGATGATAAGAGGCTAGAACAAGGCCCCAGGGATACTACTTCTCACACACTGCTGAGTCTGTCTGCAGGAGGCACAAAAGTTTCCACTTCCTGGCTTAGAAAGTTCTCCTCTGAGACAGCTCCTGAGGTGGCCTGGGGCCAATCAGCCTTTTCTCATCATTTAATAAGATCACTCCTCCCCCGGGCATGGTGACTCAAGCCTTTAATCCCAGCACTTTGGGAGGCAGAGGCAAGATTGCCTGAATTCAGGGGTTCAAGAACAGCCTGGGCAACTTGGCAAGACCTCATCTCTACAATAAATAAAAAAATTAGCCAGGTATGGCCTATAGCTCCAGCTACTTGAAAGGTCAAGGTGGAAGGATCACCTGAGTCCAGCAGGTTGAGGCTGTGGTGACTGTGAGCATGCCACTACACTCTAGCCTGGGCAACAGAGTGAGATTCCAACTCAAAAAAATCAAAACAAAACAAAACAATGTCAAGACTGTCTAGATACCAGTCTTCATCTTCCTTCCAGAAGACCAAAACCCTTTGGTAGCCTCTTGGACAGGAAGCTGGAACCGCATTCACTGTTTTTTACCTCCCTGGAGCATAAGGAAGTGAGAAAGAGGTCTGGAGCCCAGTGTGATTCTCTTCCTTGCCATTCAGACACCTTGAGGGGTACCTTGGCTTCAGCACAGAAAAAACCTCCCCATTGGGAATCTGCTTAAAAACCTCCCCACTGGGAACTCTAACCTTTCTTCGAACATATTGGTAGGCTGTAAATAAAAGGAAGCTAGACCTGCCACCCCCACAGCCCTCTCAGAACACATCAGGTAGGATATGCACAGGGGCCAGCAAGCACCAGGTGGAGTTCTTTCAGAGGGAGGCACGGATGGTGCTGGTGAGGCCTTTGCTTCCGTCTGAAATGGAGTTATTTTTAGGGAAGAATCTGGGCCTGCCTTCTCTTCCTCCCTCTGATGCTAAGTGGCCATCTGCATCTCCCAGACAACCTCCACAAGCAGCATCCTGGAAAAGTGGCCAGGGAAGAGGCGGTTATTACATAGAGACCCCTGAGCTGCTGTGCATGGTGGCTGGGTTTGCCTGGCACGCTAAGAGTGAGAAGGGACCATTGAAGATCAGGAACCCCCTCGCTGACTCTGTGACCCTCACCAGTACCATCCTGTCTCTGGGCCTCCATTTATTCATTTTTTTCTTTCTTTAATCTGCTAGGTAAGGGATTCGATAATATTTCCTCTAAGGTTCACCCTAACATTGTGTGATCTTTTCTTTGAAGAGTGGAGTTGTATAAGCTCCCAGACAGGTGGGCAGAACAGAGATGAAGGTTGCACCTGACAGCCAAGAGAAGGGGGTGTTTAGATGATTAGACCAAGTAACACGGGTGGTCTGCACCGCTGCCCCACTTCCCCTAGTTTTATCCAAAACAAGGCCAGTCACAGTTCAGCAGGACATTCCACAGTGACTGCTTTGTCCAGAGGAAGGGGAGTTCTGACATCCTGAACCAATTCCTCTCTAAGTCCCAAGGAAAGGACCAGCAGGTGGCTTGTGTGAGGTGGTGAAGGGCTCTGGTCACTGGCACAGGAAGTCCCCAGGCTTTCTCCTTCCAGATAAGCACTCTCACTTCCAGCTTGCCCTCTATCCAAGGAAAAGCTCATCTCTCAGGCTTCAGACCCACCTAGCAAGGATCTTTCTTACCTGAGCCCCCTGAGTTAAAAATTTGGGAGTAGGGTGGGAGAGAGGAGGCAGAGGTTCTGGAAATGCATCGGCAAGTTCTAATCTTTGGGCTACTAGAACTTCCATGTCGAGTGATGCTATCTCTGTTAAATTTGATTGGCCCGCAGTGTTCCTGAAATAGTGTTACATTTGTTTTCAATTGAAGACAGAACGCTGCTTGTATGTAAGGTGATGGAACTGAAAAAGAAATAAGAAATACTGCTCCCATAGCTTTGTGTCCTTCTGATTATTCATCTGCTTCATTGTACATTACACGAGAGAAGGAGCCACATCTAACTCACCGTAGGCTCTGTTAAGCGAATGAATGACTCTATCTCCATCTCTTTTCCCAACTTGGGTGTCTCAGGCCCAGGTCAACAGCAGGTGATGTTGTGTCCAGTGTAGTCAAGCTGGGGAGTGGAGCTAACACTGTGCCCCAAAGCTCCTAACTGCCTTGGGTTTCCTATATCATTCCACAAATAATGCAGGGCCAGGCTCGTGGGGTCCGCTCTCCCTTACAAGTGCCCAGACCTGAGCGCATCAGAAAGTTTGGATGAACCGGGAGCGAGTCAAGTGCAGAGCAGCTCTTTCAGAAATAGATCTGACCTGTCCAGTGTCCCAGAGGCATAGGCAGGGCTGAAGAGGCCCCAGCACATAGTGGTCAGGAATGTAGATCCTGGAATCAGATAGATCTGGGCTCAAATCCAGATTCTGATACTTACTAACATGTGACCTTGACAATCTGCTTTATGTCGCTGATCTTAGTTTCCACATCTGTAAAAGAGGATGATAATAAAATGCATACGTAGTTCAGGTTTAAATGAGATCATGTGTGAAAGGCACTCCTCCAACTGACCTCACAGTCAGAGTTCCATCAGAGCGGGATGTGGCACTTCTGAGAGTCTGTGCTGACTGAGCCTTGCAGACTGAGGGGGAACAGTTTTGCTGGAAAGTTCATCTGCAGAAAGTTGATAGAACTCTGAGGGTGCTAAGAGAGGACATGCAGGGCCAGATAGGATGATCCCTGGAAAAACCCTAAAAGCCAAGAGAAGAGCGAGAGAGAGAAAGAGAGCAGCTGTGGGTTTGAGAGGGCAAACTTCTGGTTGTACTCACCTAGAAAAGGAACATGGTCTCTCCAGAGGGTGGTCTGAGCTGGGAGATTCTGCAGCCTGGAGCCACAAACCACAATACTGCTTCTCACTGCCCAGGGTTGCCTGCTTCCATCTCCCTAGGTCAGCTCAGGTCCAAGGACCTTAATTGATGCCTACATTAGGCCAAGTCCCGTGATGGGTCCCGGGTTCTAGAGTGATTCACATGGCTCCTGCCCATAGGGAGCCCTGGTTCGGGATTACTGCTACAAGAGCAGATTGCAAAAGGTGTTTTGTGGCCTTTATAGGCTACAAAGTGCTTTGTATCCCTCACTAAGCCCCTCTCCATTCACTGTGTTGTCTGTGCATGGTGCTTCCTGGAGCTATGGGGGTGAGGGGGGAGGGTAGGTACCGGCAACCTGGGAAGGTGGGCAGAGCGGAGATGAAGGTAGCTACCTGACAGCCAAGAGAAGGGGGTGTTCAGGTGAGTAGACCAAGTAACACGGGTGGCCTGCACCACTGACCCCTCTTCCCCCAGCTTTTCCTTTAGCAAGGCCCGAACATACAAGAGGGAGATCTTATTGGCTAGTACGGTGATCGGCTGAAGCTCGGGGCGGCCCACAGGGCGTACACAGTCGTACTGGAAGTGCCATGCTGCTCCCCCACGTCCAAAAGGGGACGCTGAAGCCCGCTTTCCGGCTGCCGGCTCAAGGAGCCCGAGGCCCGGCCCTTGCCTCTCCCTAGACACCAGCATAGCCGCACGGGGATTTCTGCCTCTCAGCGCCACCACGCGCCGCTCCCTGCAGCCCTCGGTTGGAGTCCGACCTGCGCTGGTCAGGGTGGGAGTACCTGGCCGCTCCCC